GATGTTTCTCTCTCATCGATGTTTCTAACTCTCTATCCCTCTTCCCCCCTCTTTGTAAAAAATCAATAAAATATATTTTAAAAATATATTCTATTGATTTTTTTACAGAGAGGAAGGAAGAGGGATAGTTAGAAACATTGATGAGAAACATCAACTGGTTAGGGCAGTATTTTTTAAAAATATATTTTATTGATTTCTTACAGAGAGGAAGGGAGAGGGATAGAGAGTTAGAAACATCGATGAGAGAGAAACATCCATCAGCTGCCTCCTGCACACCTCCTACGGGGGCTGGGCCCGCAACCAAGGTACATGCCCCTGACCGGAATCGAACCCGGGACCCTTCAGTCCGCAGGCCGACGCTCTATCCACTGAGCCAAACCAGTGAGGTCTAGGGCAGTATTTTTTATTTTTGCAAATATATATAAAACAAGAAGAATTAAGTAATTGGGAGGGGCCTTGGGCCTGGGCCACGCCCACATCAGACCGCAAAACCCCGCCCCTCACCCACAAATCAGCCGCGCCTCTTCTAAATCCCGCCCCCCCAAATAAATAAATAAATTCCGCCCAATCCTGTCCCACGCAGCCTTTTACACTGCAGCTAGGCCCTCTCCATCCCGCTGAGCCTGGTCCACGAAAGCCCACGGCCCTCGGCTCATCCCAGCCTACGCCTAGAACCGCTGACCAGCGTAGTCTGATTCCGCCGAAATAAAAACTCCGCCTCATTTAGCTTCTAGCCAATCAGATTCAAGATCCCGCCCTACGTATCCCTTCGCCACCTACCAAACCTCACTCCTAGCGGAGCACCAGCCTATCAGCTTCGGAGACGCTTCAGCCTGGGTCAGGTCACCGTTCCACGCGCCCGGTGGCCCGCCGGACTACATTTCCCAGGAGGCGTCGCGGCCGCGCCGCACTACGTCCGGCTGCGAAGATGGCGGCTTCCTAGCGAGTCGGCAGCCCAGTCGGAGGGAGGCTGAGGCTACGGTGAGCAGAAGCGGGTGTTGAAAGCGTGTGGGGCTCGTCCCTCGAGGCCTAGCTCCCGTAGCCTTCGGGATATAGCCCCCTGCCTCCTTGGAAGCTTCCGTTCCCAGCTCTGGTTTCTCCCGCAGCCTAGCCTCCACCCCTCTTCTACAGCTAGTTCCTTGGAGGTTGTGGGGCTGCGGGGCGCTCAGAGACCATCCCGGGCAGCCCGCACCCATTGCCCAGACAGGCAGGCTGTCCCGTTGGCGTCCTGTCTTTCCTCAAAGGGACCTGTGGCACCCAGATCCCCGTCTCTCGCTTGTGCCGACACCCCCATGTACAGACACCCCCTAGGCAGCCCAGCGTCCACGGGGGAGAATCCTAGAGGTTATGATTCCTTTATTTACCAAGACATTTTCAGTTCCAGGTTACAGAAAACCCAACTCAATCTATCTGAAGCAAGAAAGGGGAATTAGTGGCGTATAGACTGGTTCCAGGTGCTCAGAACTCTGCCCGCTGTTCTCTGGGTGAGCATCACTCCCGTGGGCTCTTTCCTCTCTTGGAGGCTAAGGAGGCTCCTAGCAACTCTCTCCTTGTAGCTCCCAAGCTCTGCAACTCTAAGGAGTCCCTCTCCCCTAATGGCAGTGTTGTAAGTCTCAGAGCTGCCCCTCGCTGGCCTGTATTGGGTCATGTCCCCATTCCTGAGCCATTCACAGTAGCCAGTTGTGTTCACTGGCTTTGTAGTTGTTTTCACTACAGAAGTGTGCATGGAGGCTGTTACCTTAAGTTAGAGTGGATGCTTGGCTGATAAGTGTAAAGGCACCCATTCTACAGATGAGGAAACTGAGGCCCTGAGAGAAGTGAGTCAATAGTCGGTAAGCAGCAAGTGCCCTAACCTTCTGGGTAACCAAATGTTTCTGAAATTCCTAAGGGCAGAATTCTGGCTTCCCCCATCCCTGCTTCATCCAGCCACTCAGGAGCCATGGAGGTGGCAGAGCCCAGCAGCCCCACCGAGGAAGAAGAGGAGGAGGAGGAGGAAGAGCAGTCAGTGGAGCCAAGGCCCCGTACACGCTCCAACCCTGAGGGGGCTGAGGACCGGGCACTGGGGGCCCAGACCAGTGTGGGAAGCCGAAGTGAGGGTGAGGGTGAGGCGGCCAGTGCGGATGATGGGACCCCGAACGCTCTGGGAGCTGGCCCCAAGCCCTGGCAGGTGCCCCCACCAGCCCCTGAGGTCCAGGTGCGGACACCAAGGGTCAACTGTCCAGAGAAGGTGGTAAGTGAGAATTTGGCCGTAAGCTCTGAGGCTTTGGGGAACCTTGGGTTGACATTCTCGCCTTTTGGGATTCACTCTACAAACAGCCCTTTTGTATTAGTTTCCTGGGGCTGCCGCAACAAATTACAGTGAGCTGGGGGGCTGAAAAAAACAAATTTATTCTCTGACAGTCCTGGAAACCAGAAGTCTGAAATCAAGATGTTGGCAGGGACCCCATTTTCTTCAGAGGCTCTAGGGGAGGGTCTTTCCTTACTCGTTCAGCTTTGGGGGGCTCCAGGCATCCTTGGCTGCAGCTGATCACTCCCATCTGTGTCTGTTTTCACATGGCCCTCCCCTCTCTGTCTTTGTGTCTCCTCTCCTGTCTGTCATAAGAATACTTGTCACCGGATCAGATGATCTTCTTTCAATTTCTTTATTTTAATTACATCATCAAGGTCTCTAATTCTAAGTAAAGTCACATCTGAGGTTCTAGGCAAACATATCTTCTGGGCGCCACAGTTCAACCCACTATACCCTTATTTCCTTGTTTCTGTGTCATGTATTCTCTTGTTTGCTTACTCACTTATTAACCTGGACTTCTAGTCCAGCGCTCTTTCCCCTGAGCCACCAACTTCCAAAGTGGATAGCTTGACTAAGAACTGGGGGTCATCTTACCACCTCTCAGACGGGTCTGCTTAAAGAGGGCCAAGCATGTGGGGGCTGGTGTTAACATCCAGGCACCAGGGGCTGCCAGTCACAGTGCCTTCACCACCCTCCAACTTCATTGCAGATCATCTGCCTGGACCTGTCGGAGGAAATGTCACTGCCAAAATTGGAGTCATTCAACGGGTGAGAGGGACATTTGAGGGCTTGAATGTGTAGCTACAACTTGGAGGGGCCCAGCCTGAAAAACACAGGGCTCTCTCTCAGACTCACACCATTGTGGTCTGGCTCGGGGCCTGGCGGTATCAGAGCATAGCGACAGTAACTGGTAATGATACAGCGGTGGCCCCTCAGGCTCTGTTCCAAGCATGTGAGAGGTATCGAGCAACCAGTCAATGTGTCTGTGGTTCATCAATGTTTTTCTCCCTCCTCTCTCTCCCCTCCTCCCCCCTCCCTTCCACTCTCTAAAATCAATGTCATAGGAATGACTTGGAAACTCAGAGAAGCAGAGTAACTTGCCTAAGACCATAGCAAGTAGGTGGAGCAAGAATTCAGACTCATGCTTAGCTGACCCCAAAGCCCTTGCCCTGAGCAGGCAGGGCTCTGTGGGGTTGAGCAACAGAACCTGGAGAGGGTCTGAGAGGCTCTGGGAGATACTGAAGACAAGCATGTCCCCCTCCCACCCCTCACACACACACTGTGTGACGTGGGCCAGGGCCTCATTGTAGCGCTGGTGGAAGGTTCCCCAGGATGGACAGGTGAGGGGATAAGCCTCGCCCCCAGGCCTGCCTCTCCTTAACCACCCCCCTCATTCTCTGTCCCTCTCCAGCTCCAAAACCAATGCTCTCAATGTCTCCCAGAAGATGATTGAGATGTTTGTGCGGACAAAACACAAGATTGACAAAAGCCATGAGTTTGCACTGGTGGTGGTGAACGATGACACCGCCTGGGTGAGGCTGGGGCACCCTGGGGTCCCCTGAGGGTAGGGATGAGGCTGGGTGCTCTGGGACCCCTTGGGGGCAGAGAGCACTTTGCTGAGGCCTGTGTTTCTCCACAGCTGTCTGGACTGACCTCCGACCCCCGTGAGCTCTGCAGCTGCCTCTACGACCTAGAGACAGCCTCCTGCTCCAACTTCAGTATCCTTCCAGGCAGAGGCACCTCAGGGGGCAGGGGGCGGCGTGGGAGGCTGGCCTGTCTTGTACCCAGAACCCAGGAAGCCTGAGCTTGGAGGGAGCCAACTTACATTGGATCAGGTCCAGATCTCAGCTCTGCTGCAGCAGGCTAGGGCCAGTCACCTCTCTAGCTTTCAGTTTCTTTTGAGCCTTGGCCAGTTGCTCAGTGGTTAGAGCGTCGGCCTGCACACTGGAGGGTTGTGGGTTAGATTCCAGTCAAGGGCATGTACCTGGGTTGCAGTTCCGATCCCCACCCCTGGTCGGGGCACATATGGGAAGCAACCAATCGATGTGTCCGTGGCACATCAATGTTTTTCTCCCCACCCACCCCCCTCCTCATCCCCCCTCCCTTCCACTCTCTAAAATCAAAAATATCCTCACTTCTTGGGTGAGGATTTTAAAAAGAAAGAGAGCCCTAGCCAGTTTGGCTCAGTGGATAGAGCGTCAGCCTGTAGACCAAAGGGTCCTGGGTTTGATTCCATTCCAGTCAAGGGCGAGTACCTTGGTTGCAGGCTTCTCCCCGGCCGGGGCCCTGGTCAGGGCAAGTGCAGGAGGCAACCAATCAATGTGTTTCTCTCACACTGATGTTTCTCTCTGTCTTTCCCTCTCTCTTCCACTCTCTCTAAAATCAATGGAAAAATATCCTCAGGTGAGGATTAACAAAAAAAGAGAGTTCATTTGAGCCAAACTGATGACATTGCCAGGAAGCAAAATCCCAAATGCTCCCCAGGCTCTCAGTTTCTTCATCTGTAAAATGGGAGGCAGGCTACCTCTTACCCCATGGGTCCCTGTCAAGGTAAAGTCGTAACACAGAAGCAAAACCAGCTGATTTGGACTCTGGATGTCAAAACTGTGCCCACAGGGGGAGCACTCCATGCAGGGCCAATTACACATTTGGTGCCATTTGCTCAAAAAATGCCAATATGTGACTGAAAAGTCACAGTCACCACTATATCACATTTTTTAAAAAAATACGTGTTTTTATTAATTTCAGAGAGGAAGGGAAAGGGAGAGAGAAACATCAATGATGAGAGAGTCATTGATTGGCTGCCTCCTGCACGCCCCCTACTGGGGATTGAGCCTGCAACCTGGGCATGTGCCCTTGACTGGAACCGAACCCGGGACCTTCAGTCTGTAGGCCGTCACTCTGTCCGCTGAGCCAAACCAGCTAGGGCACTACATCACATTTTATGCTAATTTGAACATGAAAGGCTCACATGCAGCTCAAAACTTAGATAAAATATCATCCCTGTGAGTTAGAAAATGTGTGAGAGTTGGGAGGAGGGGAACAGGAACACCCATAGCTCTTCGTAAGGGGCGTGGCCCTGGCCTGAGGGGAAGGGGAGTTTTGAATCACCAGTGGTCTTCAGGGCATCCGATGTCAGCCCCCTCGTCTGTGATCTCTGCTGAGGAAAACAGGCTCAGGCCACGGGGCTGGGGTCACACACAGTTTCCTGCACAGTGGTACCTGGCCCCAGGTTCTGAGGCACCTGGGGTCTCCTGGCATCAGGATGAGGGGAGTCATGCACCCTTCCCACCCGTGCTCTGCCGCCTGTGTTCTTAGCATCCCCACCAGATATGGAAGGTCTCTTCAGCCTCATGTAAGTCCTTCCTTCCCCGTATCTCACCCTCTGTATTAGTCCTATGGTGGCCCATGGCCCTCCACACCATTGTTTTAGCCCAGGAGGCTGCATACTCTTTCCATAAAAAGCCAGATAGTAAATGTGTTTGGCTTTGCAGATCATAACAACTGACTCTGCCTTAGGAATCCAAAGGCAACCACAAACTCTATGGACACAGTGGGCGTGGCCATCTCTCTATATAAAAGCCTAAGCAACCGGTGGACTGGCCAGTAGCTATAATGCGCACTGATCACCAGGGGGCAGACTCTCAACGCAGGAGCTGCTGAGCTGCATGACTTGGCAGCTGTGGTTCTCGGGTGATGCACCCTGAACCAGAGAGGAAGCAGCCCAGTTCTGGGGTGTGTCATCCGAGACCCGCCCTCGCAATCCGGGACCGTTGGGGGATGTCAAGAGCCGGTTTCGGCCCAATCCCCGCAGGCCAGGCCGAGGGACCCCACCGGTGCACGGCCTCTAGTGTATCAGTAAGATTTTATTGATAAGCACTGAATTTCATGTCATTTCCACATGTCATGAAATATTCATTTGATTTTCCCCCCTCCAGGTATTTAAAAATATAAACCCATTCTTAGTTTGTGGGCCCTACTATTCTAATCTCCATTTTCACCAGCCCCTGATGCTGGGCACAGAGCTTGTGTTGCCTTTAATTAACTTGGTACAAACATCTCAGCAAATTTTGCAAGTGAACCCATGAGGTAAATTCACAGTAGAGGACATACTTGATTAAGGGGGGATTATTTTGCTAGACATTGCCAAAGTACTGCCTCAGAAATTAACCGTTTATTTCCCCTGGCCGGACTGATGATGCTGCTGAAAGCTCTGCTTGTGTGATAGTGCTTTCTCTGAGCCTTTTTTTCATTCATTTTAAAGCCGTTTGGCATTCCTGTAGTGACTTGTCTATTTGTCCCCTTTACCGGTTTTTCTATGAGGAAGTTGGCTTTTTTCTTGTGAAGGACCAGATTTGCTTTTTACATAGGAAGGACCTTGCCCTCTGCCTAGTGCCCTCTGCCCATGAGATCCAGTTGTGGCCAAGTAGGGAAATGTGTCTTGATTTAGATAAAAGATTAAGTCCCTTCCTAAGAGTTCCTGGCCTGGTGGGGCAGGGCCAACTCCAGGTGATGGGGGACACTCAGGGTGGGCGGAGCAGGCTTCAGCTTTGGGTTTAGCAAAACAGAAGAGGTCAGGCAGAGGGTAAGGCTGGGGAGGTGCTCTGGGCAGAGAGAACAGCATGTGGGAAGGCTCAGAGCCAGCAGTAAACTGGGGAGGGGACAGGTGGGGCTCTGCATGCCCAGCAAGGAACTGGCTCTCCAAAGGTGATGAAGGGAGGGACCCCCAGAGTTGTTCTCATCTGTCCCCTTACTGTGCAGTCAACAGAAGACGGAGCTGCCAGTCACGGAGAATGTGCAGACGATCCCACCCCCATATGTGGTCCGTACCATCCTTGTCTACAGCCGTCCACCCTGCCAGCCCCAGTTCTCCCTGACTGAGCCCATGAAGGTGACCGAGGCCTGGGAGAGGGTGGTGAGACACTAGGAGGGGTTTCCTGAGCAGAGGACTGGGGCACCTGTGGCAGGTTCCCAGAGTCTGAGGCAGACGCTGGGGAATTGTCATGGGGCACAGGGTGACTGAGTCTCAAAGGCTGGTGTTCTTCACCTGCAGAAAATGTTCCAGTGCCCATATTTCTTCTTTGATGTTGTTTACATCCACAATGGCACCGACGAGAAGGAGGAGGAGATGAGCTGGAAGGTGAGGCCGTGGCAGGTGTGGGCGGCAGGTGGGTGTAGATGGGACGTCTTAGAACCCATCTACCCTGGGTCTCGGGGATCCCAACTTCTGGCTCCTGGTCATTCGGTCATTTGACAACCATTTCCACGTGGTCTGCTGGGAGCTCAGCGGGGGCTGTTGGGACGGGGGCCTGCTTCTCTCTCCCTGCTTTTGCCTTGGCTGTGCCCTCTTCTTGGAGCACCCTTCCCTCCCTGCCTACCCAGACTCTGCTGGTCATTCACGTCCCAGCCCGGAACTAGCTGTGGGGCTTCAAGTGGGCCACTTACTTCTCTGAGCCTCAGTTTACCAGCTGAACAGGGGAGGGGTTTGAGGCCAGCTCCTACTCATATCTCAATATTTAAACCAAAAGTGTCTATTGAGGGCAGCCTTCCCTGCCCCTCAGGAAGATCAGCATGGGGACTGGAGGGTAGTTTATTAGCTCCCCTTGGAGCCTCCAACTGACTCCAGTTTGGAGGCTCCAAGGCTGAGACCTGTCGGTGTCCCTAACACGGGGCGGGGAGCAGGGAGTGTTTGCTGAAGGCAGGAATGTTTTCTGCCTGGAAAACTCTTCACCCTTCAGAACCTACCCCTGGTGCCTCCTCCTCTGGGAAGCCCTCCCGGGGCAAGGAAGGCCTGGCAGGGAGCCCTTGCTTGAAGAGTCCCTCCCTGGCCCCACAGGACATGTTTGCCTTCATGGGCAGCCTGGATACCAAGGGCACCAGCTACAAGTATGAGGTGGCACTGGCCGGGCCAGCCCTGGAGCTGCACAACTGTATGGCTAAGCTGCTGGCTCACCCGTTGCAACGGCCCTGCCAGAGCCATGCCTCCTACAGCCTGCTGGAGGAGGAGGAGGAAGCCACTGAGGTTGAGGCCACTGTCTGAACCTTCCCTGTGCGTCCATCCTGGTACCACGAAACCTAGAGTGTTGGTTCTTAAACTTTGCTCCATGGGACCCCTGGGGGACTTCAAGGAAGCACTTGGTTACTTAGGAGCCCTGGAAGGAGACCCGTTATTCCAGGAAGCAACCCAGGACTGTGGTCACCCATGATTCCCAGTCCATATTTCAGTCCCCAGTTTGCCAATTGTAATGTGTTCTTCCCTGTGTGATTTTTGTCACCAGAATAAAACCTGAGAAATCTCTAACCGAGGTCCACACCAGTCGCCTTGTGTTAATTAGGATCTTCTTGGTTGAAGGTGACAGAAAACCCACCCAATGAACAGCAGGGGAATCGCTTGGTTCTGGCGGATAAGCCAAGGTGCAGCTTCAGGCTTGCCTACATCCAGCTGTTCAGACATCGCCGGGGGGCGGAAAAATACCTACCAAAAGGGGCTCCTGGTGGCTAGTTGGTCTCATGTTAAAAAACAAAAGGAGCCCAGGAACCTTTGCCTCTCACGCAAACCCAGCTTCAGGGAGAAAAACTATCTGCCTTCTGCACTGAAATGCCTGCCTGCCAGCATTGTGTTCCTGCTGAGTGAGCCAACTCATATAAAGGAATTCCTGGAATCATATTTCAACCAAGAGGATGGAGATAACCCCTCTGTCCAATCGGAGCTGAGGAACTATAGTCTCTGTTAGCATCTTTAAAAAATATATATATTTTTTATTGATTTCAGAGAGGGAGAAATAGAAACATCAATGATGAGAATCACTAATTGGCTGCCTCCTGCATGCCCCACACTGGGGATCGAGCCCACAACCCGGACATATGCCTTGATGGGGAATTGAACTGTGACCTCCTGGTTCTTAGCTCTGTTAGCATCTTTGATGAATCAGAATGGCTCCACTCCTTAGTGCTTTTTGGGCCAATCAAACTGATGATTTGGGGTACTAATTTGCATGAGAACAGGCTAATTAAGGGTCAGGGGCTGGGGCTTCCTTATATAAGTTCCATTATGGCTGGGCAATGCTTGTTCCTTTTCCACCAAAGACTGATTCCTTGGCTGGAGCTGAAACAATTTGCCAGAGGGCTGTGTTGTTCTATTTTGAGGTGTTTGCTCTGAATAAAGCATCTTCTTTCACTGCACCCTAAATTGGGGATTTCTGTTGGCATTGACTTGGCACCATGACAATTGGTTGACAGTTGTGACCACTGCCCAACCCCCCTACTGCTGGCCTTGCCTGGGTCATGGGCTAGAGCTCTGGGATATTCAGATTGTTCAGGCCTGGATCAAGCCTCTCCTGAGAAGGGGAGGACTACAGGTCCCAGGAAATAGCGTGGTTGCTCCCCAGAAGGGAGACAAGACAGGCACAACAGGTCCACTATTCAATTCTCTGTCTGGATAATGAGCAACAGTGAAAGAAGTTTACCAGATAGATTCTCAGTTCCATTTAAAATTCAAATGGCCTTATTGAGCAACAGCTTTCCTTCCCATAGCATTTATTGGGCACCCGTGTGCCAGGACCCTGTGATGAAACACTGGCTCAACATCACACCAGCCTGGAAGGGATTCTCCCATTTTGCAGATGGGAACACCAAGGCCCAGAGCCCCAAAGGCACGACCTCCTGGCTCCCCGAGACTGCAAACAGGCGACTCAGAGCTAGAGGCGGGAGCTGATAATTACATTTGCGCGCTAATGGAGGCCTCTTCAGCCGTGGGCACCTCCAAGTCACCGGGTCGTAGCTCCGCCCCCTTCAGCAGGATGTGTCCGCGTTTTGAGACCAGAAAATGGCACACCCGGCGGCCTCCACCCGCCCAGGCTCTCCCTGAGCACCGCTCGAGGTCGCGGACCTGAGTGGGCACTGAAGCTCGAATCCCAAAGTGTGCCAGGCAGGTGCGGCGCGGGGCAGCCTGGCTGGGTACCCTCCGTGGCACCTGGGTGCTGAGACCGGAG